GGAAGCTAGCATGGAGTGTCAGAAATCTCAATCACTGACTGTGGCTAACTGCAACAATGCTGCAGTGATACAACATTGTGAATACAACTGGTGTGAAGATCCTTGAAATTTCAATTACAAGAAAATAATGGGTCCTGGATTTTGTATGCATTGTTTTAAGTTAGCAGATTTAAGGTACCTCAATGCAAAAAAAAAAAAAAAAGTGCTATGTTGGGACTGTAACTTCCATCATTCCTAACCACTTTTATTCCTGGGCTGACTAGTTAAGGATGCTGGACTTGTACTCCCAAAACATCTGGATAATCCCAACATATCTGGAGGCTCTAGGTTGGGAAGGCTGCCATAGATTATATTCCTAATTTCTGTCCTTCTTCATTACAAATCTTTTCATCTAGCATCAAATGTTGAGAATAAACCTTTGCTAACTTGGAGCAAAGCCCAAGAAAGTGTGCCTTGGAATATAATCCTGTTGCTTGGAGGAGGGTTTGCAATGGCAAAAGGATGTGAGGTACGTCTGTTAAAGTGCAACCTGTGAAACATTGTGTCTGATCTTCTATAGGCACTGTTGTGATATATGACTTTATATTATATTATGCTACATGCACATACTGTGGCCCGGTTCACACATTATACTAAATTCAATGTAATTTGATCAGTGTTGGCTTAGTGTGAATCTGTTCATCCCTACCGTATATGGATTTACCTGTATGTATGAAACTGGCCACTTTATTTGTTTATTTGTTTGTTTATTAAATTTCTATAGCTGTGCAACTCAACCAAGTGATTTGGGCAGCATAATACAGTTTATTTAACTAGCCTGGAGACTAAAACATATGAAGAACGGCTGCAGGACTTGGGTTTGGCTAGTCTAAAGAAAAGAAGAAACAGGGGTGACATGATAGCAGTATTCCAGTATTTGAGGGGCTGCCTCAAAGAAGAGGGGGTCAAACTATTCTCCAAAGCACCAGAGGGCAGGACAAGAAACAATGGTTAGAAACTGACCAAAAACAGAAGCAACCTGGAATTAAGGAGAAACTTCCTAACAGTGAGGATGGTTAACCAGTGAAACAGCTTGCCTTCAGAAATTGTGGGCGCTCCATCACTGGAAGTTTTAAAGAAGAGACTAGACAGTCACTTGTCTGAAATGGTATAGGTTCTCCTGCTCGAGCAGGGGGCTGGGTTAGAAAATCTCCAAGATCCCTTCCAGCTCTATTCTATTCTAACTAAAAATCAATTTGGTTTAGCAGTTAAGATACTTGGCTAGAAGTGGGGAAATTTGAGTTCTAGTCGCTTTTTTTCAGCCCTAGGAAGAAGTTAGTGGCAAACAACTAGACAGGTACTTGTTCATATAATTGCTAGGAGTCATATTTAGCTGAAATGCAAAATAAATAGATCATAGAAAATCCATCATATGAACCTGAAGGGGAAAAATAACTATAGTGACTGTTTAATTGAAAATGATCACAGATTTTGGTAATAATTCAAAACACAAATGTGCTACATCTTTTACAATTAATTATCTGGTCCCAAGAAGCTTGGATGTCTTTATTATCCTAATAGTATAAAGAAGTATTTTGTCACACCAACAATATATGAGGCAGTAAATGTGAACGGTAAAATGGCTGCCTTTATTCATCTCCCTGGTCCTCCCCTGCTGGAGTCCTCCAGGGATGCATGTCAGTTGTCAGTTAAACGATCTGTCCCAAATGCTGTCATTGCATGATAAGAACTGAAGGAGATTTTTAGGGGTTTAAATATTATTGATTCTCTTACATAACTTTGGGAAATTTCTTTTCTTGCTATAGGAATCAGGTTTGTCTGTGTGGATTGGAGGTCGTCTTGACCCTCTAGAGAATCTCCCTCCTCCTGTGGCTGTAATTCTCATCACAGCAGTCATAGCAATGTTCACAGAATTTGCCAGTAACACAGCTACAATCATCATCTTCTTGCCTGTCTTGGCAGAACTGGTAAAAAAACTCATATGTGTCTTTTGAACAGCTTGCAGCATTAGCTCTCTTTTCTCTTATCAATGAGGAGATCTTGGCCCAGGCAGTAGCCAGCAATAGCTGCCCTTACTTTCATTTTTTTCTTCTGGGTTGCATTATATCCTTGTACGTGGCAACCTTTTTATGATAAGCACATCTGTAGAAGCCTTTTCATAGGACTTGAAACCAAACTTTGAATTTGTGTAGATCTCACATTGGGACTCCACTGAATCTGAAGAGACTTCAGAAAGGGAATTCCTTTTCTTGATGCAGTGTCAATAACATGATCTTATTTAGAGACCCCATGAACATGATGCTTTCCTTGAATTATTCTGTCAAGTAGGTTCATATGGAATTATCTAGTGAAAGCATGTACAAAATGCTAGATATTATTCATTTATTAAATTTATTTGCTGCTTATCTTGATCCTGCAAATCTGGGTGGCTTACAATAAAACAATATTATAAAAGATTAAAACAGTAAGATAATAAATACATTAAAATTAACAAAGAAATAACCAAGATGGCAGGGGATATACAACAGAATGGAAATGGGATCTTCTAATTCAAAAACCAGTTACAGGATGATAGATTTTTAGGCCTTTATGGAATGTCAAAAGGGTTGGAGCAAATCTCATATCGGAGAAATATGATGCTCCACCGGTTGGTGCTGTGGCAGAGAAAGGTCTTCTCCTGAACGCCTCCCCCCAGCTGAAATTCCTTGGCCAACGGGGTCCACAGCATGCCCTTATTACTGATGCAAGTGAGGTGGGCCAATTGCATTGGACTGAGATGGTTCCTCAGCTAATCTTGACCCATACCACAAAGGGCATTATAGATAATAATATCTTGAATTGGATCCAGAAGCAAACTGGCAACCACATAATAGAGATGGAGAGATATATCTTTAGTCCTTCATCAGAGATATGTAATTCATTAATAAATTTTCATTTAAAGTCCCATTTTTTTTAATTTCTGCTTTTCAAAGGCCATTCGTTTGAAGGTGAATCCTCTCTACTTAATGATACCAGGAACTGTAGGATGCTCTTTTGCCTTCATGCTTCCAGTCTCTACACCCCCAAATTCCATTGCTTTTGCTTCTGGGCATTTGATGGTGAAAGACATGGTAAGTTGCTTTATAAGGTAATTACTACTGTAGCATAATTACCAAAAATAGAGGAAGATGGATATTTTGGCCCCATAGGCCCAGTTAGTTTGCAGTACCACATGTCACCGTAGTTACCATTTCATTTATAGATCATTTATCATATGAAACTCAAAATTAGTTTACAGTGAAAGATTAAAAAAATCAGTAGAAAATGGGTACAGGTAGGTGTGCCAGATAGAGATTTCAAGCTAGTGATATGTTTAAATTAGAATTTCATAGAGAGAGTATTTTGAATTTTCCACCAAATTTGTGGGCAGAAAAAATGGATGGATGGTTTTGTTGTTGTTTTTGAAAAGAAAAAACCCCTATCTTTCTCAAGATAATACCACTATGGAGTAAAAGAAATACTATGAAAAGTTCCTCTCCGGGCTCTTTATTTGAAATTTGCCTGAACCATGGGAAGCTAGGGAGGCTACAGACAGCTGGAGAAATTATTTTTCCAATGAAAGACAAGACATTCATCATACATTAAGGGTGTTGGAAATATTTCCAATTCTAATCATTTTGAATTCTAAGAATTTTGAAATACTGTTCCCGAGTTTCAAGTACTTCCATAATGACTGGAGAAGCTCATTATGTAAAAGATGTTTTCCATTAAATCCAATTGCCACACTTCTTCCATGAGAATTTCAGATTTATTGTTCTCTCATCTGCCAAAAAACAAAAAATTCTAAAGCAATTTCTCTGTCAAATTGATAAATCTATTCACCCGACATTAGAATTCATTTGTTTTGTTTTGTTTACATTGTAATACACATTTAAGAAAGAATTTAATTAGCAATGATTAAGCAATGATTAACTTCTCTGTCATTTCCCCAATCTTCCTTCATAGCTTTGATTTGCACCACAAAGGAAGCATGTACAGTATGATATGAATGACATGTAACTCTGCCTGGTAGCTGTGTATTTTACCTAATGGGAGACATCATAGCTTTATAGCAGTGGAATACAGCTAGTGAAAAGAGCATAGGGGAAAAAACAGTTAACAATTCTTCTCTTCCCCCTCATTATCAGCTTCCCAGTTTAGCTACCAGCCTGTCATAAGTATAGAGCTGTTGACATGGAGTCCTTGGACTTTCAAAAACCATGTATTCACCAAAAGATTCTGAATAAACATGCACATCTGGATAAAAGTATTATTTCTCTTTTGGACTGGTTAAAGAATATAAAGGAATGAATATTCTTATGCTAATATCTGCATGTGAACCAGTTCTTACAAATTTCCCCATAATTTGTCTGAGGTTAAGTTAGAGTAATCCATTGGCATGATTGCAGATGAGGCAACAATTTTAGGAAGAAATTGAAAAAAAGGAATTCCAAAGCACTCCAAAACCAACTCATGACCTATGAAGCAACTCACAATTTATGGAGCACATCCTGTCATTATTATTTCTATGACCTTTGGAGGCCATTGATAATAAAACAGAAAAACTATGGCCAAAACCTATTGCTTACTTCTGCCCAAACTGCAAGATGGTTCCTGTGTTCTATGATTATGCAGAGATTTCCTTTTTGTCCACTGCTATCCAAATTCACTAAAATGCTGTAAGAATATAACAGTAGACACCAGCTGGAACTTTTGGAGAAGAACATGAATCATCTCCATATCTTTTGTAGCTATTACACACCTTGCTTTTTAGAGGCATGGGGGTTCAGTGACTTAATGATGCTGGAGATGGTCTTTGCTCTAATGCAGGGGTTCCCAACTAGGGGTGCTCACAATATTGTGCAAGACAATATTCCAGGGGGTGCAAAAACTTGGGTTTTCAAAATTATAGTGTATATGCATAATTTGTTGCTGTTATTTCAAACTTTTATAAGGAGTGTGAGAATATATCAGAAGCGTTTTAGGGGTGTGGGGTATAGAAAAGGTTGGGAGCCACTGCGGTTCGAATCCTAGCACTGTGTGTTGGGGTGAGTTCTCGTCACTCATCTCAACTTCTGTCCATCTAACCATTCAAAAGCATGTTCTATGCGAGTAGATAAATAGGTACCACTTCAGTGCGGAGATGAACTGGTGCTATGTGAAAGCATTCAGATTCCTTTCAGCTCTGAACTTCCCGATTTCGGTGCCCATTTACAAAGTGGCCCCAAGGAAGGGAGGGATTACCCTGAAGGAAGAGTTGCTCATCTCTTTCTGGTGCAAAGCCAGCTCGCCCTGCTGTGGCGTAACTTGGGAAGCATATCCTACAACAGACCTGGTAAATTGGCAGCCAAACTACCACTCTGCAATAGAATTATGATCTCCTGGCTAATGTAACAACACCATATGATGATGATGAGGATGATGAATATGATGAATATGATGATGATGATGATGATGATGATGATGATGATGAAGAAGAAGAAGAAGAAGAAGAAGAAGAAGAAGAAGAAGAAGAAGAAGAAGAAGAAGAAGAAGAAGAAGAAGAAGAAGAAGAAGATAATGATAATGATACAAATTCACCATCAGTCAATTGTAAAAGGCAGCTTTACTTAGAACAGCTTCTATTCTGCGACAATATCTGTAATATCACCAAACATCGAATCTGCCTATCCCAGGTCCTTGGAAAGGACTCGATAGGTAGACAAAAATGCTAAATCCAGTCTGAACATTTGGATGACTGTGCAATGAACCACAATATATACAGCTTTATATATACAGCATTAGGAATGTATCCAGCAATATAGTATGGCTGTATCCCAGCCAGAGCAGAGACATTAGCAAGTAAGGTCTAAACAGATAATCCTGGGAAAATTATTCCTTGGATTGGTAAATATCTAGTTTGAGCTTTGAGCAAGTAACTGAGGTTTCATTACTCAAAACTGCCCCATTTTATTAATGATCAGATTTGCAGGACCTGAGGATATTAATTTATCATTGTCTTGTTTTAAAATAGAAAATAGTATAGTAATTATTTGAATGTTAATCTTTTAGCAGCTCATTATCAAATATTCAGTAAAAAAAAACACCTTCTCTCTCCCATCATTGCCTAAAATGCACATTTTCCACATTAACTCATTGAATACATTTCTGTACTATTACTGGAATTTAATTCACCATGAAATTCCTGCACTGAAATATTCCTGGCTTCCTTGATCAGGAAACAGTGTCTGAAATCCCATGCTTAAGGCAGTTGCACAGATGATTTTCTGGAAGATGAGATGGGAAGCTATTCATGAAAACAAATAGCACAGATTATTTTGAATTAGTTCTAAGAGTTCTAAATTAAGATGGATGTATTTCAACTGTGTATTAGAGGAAATATCCTAATGGCCAAAAAAATATATATCCAACTATAGAAGGAAATATTTGGTATGCCATTGAGACCAAGGTTGAACAGCCACTAGTACCGTAGGTCATGGAGCTCTAACTGTCTTAGATTGAGCAGTGGGTTGGGCTTGATGACTTCTAAAGCCTGCTTCAGTTTTCTAAGTCTGTAATGACCCATTTTCTCCCTTTGCTTTCTTTCCTTACAGGCTAGAACTGGCCTACTGATGAATTTGATGGGAATCTGTCTTCTGA